CTGTGGTTCTGATATTTCAGGGGTGTGGTGAGGGCTCTGGTTCCTTTCTGGGCCAGGCTGGGCAGTCCCAGCTCAGAGCAGCTCCTCACTCAGGCCCAGCAGCTCTCACACTCAGTGACCTCCTTGGCACCCTTCCTGATAGAATGAGTTCCTTCCTGAGCTGGAGTGAGCCTGGGCTTGTGTAGGGACATCACAGCCCTTTCTGATCTCTGCTCCTTCCCTTCCCACACCTGAGATTCCCTCGGAGTCTTTGTTGAGCTGTCACTGGGATGGGCTGTCCATGAAGAGTCTGTGGAGTCATCTCCATGCCCATCTCACATGTAAAGATAACATATTTCACCCCACGTGCATCACTTCACATTTCACTGTGCTGATGTTTGTCTGTCATTTCCCTTCCTTTCCTTCCTGGTTTCTAGTTCCCCAAAACTCCACAGACATTCCTCCATCCTCAGGAATGTCATTGACGTATCAGGAGCTTACAGAAACCCTCCCCATTTCTCACAGGCATCACAAATTGGAAAAGGTAAATTCCTGATCTCCTCTGCTCCTCTCCTTCCTGGGTGCTCCTTCCCCCAGCATCCACTGACCCCCAAATCTCCTGGCAGCTCATTCCCCTCTACTGGGAGATGCTCTGACTTTTTGGCTCATTCTTCTGACTCCAGCTGGCTGTTCCTTCAACTGCTTTTGGCAGGTTTAGTGTCATTTATGTTGAACTTGGCAGAGGTTGTGAAGTCTTTCCTATTTTTGTCTTCAGCTGTTCGACAAATCCCTGCTGGTACTTTGTTCTCCTGCTGCTGAAGCTGCCTTCTGCCCTTCCTTAGGGAATTCCTCACTGCTGAGATGTGCTGGGACTGGGCCTCACGATGATGAATGCAACCCCCATTGCCTGGAAACTCTCCTTTTTCCTTTGAAAGCACCTCCCTCTATGTTCCTGTCTGGAGGATTAGCCTGTGGTGGCAGATACAAAGGCTTTTGTTGAGCCCAGATGTTTCCTCCCAGTCAGGACCAAATTGGAGGTGGCACTGCACCCTTTGGGGACTCCCAGCTTGCTCCATGGAATTGCTGTTGGCAACAACAAAGGATTTGATGTTCCTGCAGGAACCTGAGCCCTGTGCACATGGGAAGAGCTGCAGTGCAGGATGAACAAAGGATTTGTGTTCCCAGGGCTGGGCAGCACTGGAGCAGCCTCACGGAGGAAATCAGGAAACAGTAGCTCTCTATCTCCTTCTGAAGGCTCTGCAATTCCCCTGGCAAAGGGGAATGAGCTCAGCTCTGAGCTGTGCTTGGTATTCACTCAAGGCAAGGCTAAGGGAGAATCCTCTGCCGCTGCCAGGATCTCATGAACAGAGGATCTGCAGCCCATCAGCCAGGCTGGATACAGCCCACGGGCTGCACACAGCCTGGGAACCCCTTCAAGGGACAAGGGACAGGTTCCAGCCCCTGCACATGGCTCTGAGCTGCTTTCCAGGGGCACCCTCTGCCACACTGCTCGGGCTGCTGAAGGCTGGGTGAGCACTAAAGGATTAAGCACAAAGGCAAAGCACCCAAACTCAAATGTCTAAATCAGCTTYGGGTGGACCCACCAGCCCTTCCAAACCAAATTGCATTTCAGCTGTGATCACTCCTTCCTCAATCTGCTGCCAGGCCCTGGCCCAGCAGGGCTGTTTGTAACTGGCCTTGAATGTGGTACTCAGGAATTGTTTTACAAAAGCCCATTAGGGAGCAGCACGGCAAGGAGTCCTTGGGAGTTTTAAATTTGGCATCACAAATATCACACACTGGGGATGACCAGTCAGCAGCTTCTGCAGGCCTGAATCCCCCAGAAGGCACAACTAAGAAGTCAAATCAGTGACAGGCTGGGACAGCAAGTTGCCTCCTACCCAGTCTGGAGTGTCTGAAAGGAATGCAGGTGAGTCCCATCCATCCCTGAGCAGTTCCTGGATGCTGGAGAAGGGCAGAACATGTCAGCTCAGCACACGCCTCCAGCTGGGAAATGAATCCTTGTTCAGCAGTGGAGCCATGTGCCTGGATCTGTCCATGTGCAGCAGGTGAAATGTATCCCAAGGAACCAGGGGGTTTTTTGGGGTCTGGGCCCTGTGTGTGAATGCATGACAAAAGCCCATTTTTGGATAGGAAGGTCTGTGGGCACACACAGAGACCACAGGGAGGTTCCAAGGAAAAGACAACCAAGATGCTCCTGGTGTGGTTCCATTGTGAAATGCATCCCTTCAGAGCCCAGCTCCGACCGTCAGGGATGCACGGACTCAGCTCAGCTGTGATGAGGCTTGCAGAACGATTCGAGGGCAGGAAATGGCTGTTACAGGGTGCAGGGCACCCACAGAGCACTCCCTGTCCCGAAGAGAGCGGGCACGAAATCCTTGGAAACCACACAGGTCCTACAGCCCCAGGATCTCCAAAAATCCCTGGAGCTCCACTGGCAAAGCCTCATCCCACAGCACAAAGTGTCCCTGGCATGGCCCCTTCCCATCCCACAGCACAATGGGGCTCTGGCACAGCCCCTTTCCCATCCCACAGCACAACATCTGAGCCCTTTATCTCTGCCTGTGATGGTTCAGGGCAGACCCACTCTTCATTTTCAGGTCCATGGGATTCCCTCCCATGGGTCCCAGGCACCGGAACTTCCCAACCTCCCCAGGCCACACCATTTCTCATACAAGAGATTTCCACAGCCCAGATTCCACCCTGAACTGTGCAGGGTGCCCGTAAGAAGCACCAAGTCCAAGCCACAAACCTTGACAGCCCCAGGGATCCCAAAGCACCGACACCTCCTGTGGAGACACACAAAGCTCCTGCTGGGACAGGCTGGCTCACCAAAATCCCTCTGCCTCGGTTTCCCAGGCGCTGTGCCTAAGCACATGGCCAGGCA